TTTTATCTCCTCACCAAATGCCTATCCCTTCCGAGGCTAACCTACTTTCTGAGGTGCGCCCCATCTTACAACAACCCAAAGCTTGACGAGTATGACCTCCTACTGAAGACCATGCTGGAAAAAGTTGTTAACCTCTCCCTCAACGAATGCCAGTGGAAACAAGCCACTCTTCCTGTCAGGCTCGGTGGCTTGGGTGTCCGCACCGCCACCCAAATTGCTGTCCCAGCCTTCCTGTCTTCCTCCTCAGCATCAGATGACCTGGTTAAGGAAATTCTACCTGACACCCTGAGTGATGTAGCGGGGATACAGGACCCCCACTACACGGAATGCGACACGAAATGGGGTGCCATGACAGACCCAGCACTCAGACCAGCCATGCCGAAAGCCAAGAAACAATCCATTGGGACAGCCCCATTGTAGACAAAGAAGCCACAGCTTTGCTGGAGGCAGCAACAACCCCCAGTGATCGTGCACGCCTCACAGCTGTGCAGGCTCCCCATGCAGGGGACTTCCTTCTGGCAGTCCCTATGTCTGCGACAGGCACACGTCTTGATCCGCAGGAGCTCCGTATTGCAGTCGCTCTCCCGCCTTGCTGCCCCTATCCACACTGTTCACAGGTGTATTTGCGGCGAGGCAGATGCTGACGAATATGGATTGCATGGCCTGCACTGTGGAAAATCGGGTGGTTGGCACACTAGACACGACGAAGTCAACGACATCATTAAAAGAAGCCTTGCCTCTGCTCAGTGTCCAGCGGAGAGAGAGCCCCGCAACCTACTGAACCGTGACTCTGTTAGCTTTGCCGGCCGACCAGACGGAATCACACTGCGTCCGTGGAAGGGTGGCAGGCAGTTAGCATGGGACTATACTTGCGTATCCACCCTGGCAACGACATACATCACCCTCTCTGCCGGCACGGCGGGAGCCGCAGCGACACACAGAGAAAAACAAAAGTCAGTCAAGTACAGGCAATTAGATCAAAGGTACAATTTCGTTCCAATAGGGTCTGAGACCCTAGGCCCATGGGGTGAGAGTGCAAGAAGGTTTCTTAAGGATCTTGGTTCCAAGCTCATTGACACCACAAGAGACCCTAGAGCAGCAAGTTTTCTCTTTCAGCGCCTCAGTGTCGCGATCCAGAGGGGAAATGCCCGCTGCATCCTCGGTTCCTGCCCGGCGTCGGAGGAGTTCGAGGAAATCTACAGCCTCTAGGAAGCGAACTTTTTCTTGTGTCCTCTTAATGTTTATTTTTTGTATAAATCAGATATGTAACTGTATAACCTTGCATAATAAAGTGTACATCATAATAAATAAAAAAAAGGGGGTGGTAGGAGAAGTGAACACTCTTTCGTATTCAGAGTTAAATGTCAAGTTTTTCCCTGAGTGCTCTGTGTTCCCTTCTCTGAGGCTGTGGGTCCCTATAATTGCACCAGTGGTGGTACCCCCCTATATATATATATATATATATATATATATATATATATATATATATATATATATATATATATATATATATATGTCTACCCTACGCTTGAAACAATTAAGGGTTCCCATATCTACTACGCAACCCGATAATTGTTTTCCAACACGTAGGATCACGCCCGCTAAAAAAAATTAAAGAAATACAACAACTAAACACTTGAATTCCGTACCGTGTTGCCACACTTAAGCCCCCAGGGGGTCAAATCTCAAGCAATCCAAACAAATTAAAACATTCTCCTTCCTAATTAGGTCTCAGAAAACGGAACAAAAAAGCGAAATAATCCACTAAAGTGTTCAATGAACTTTAAAAACAAGTGAAAAAATATAGTTAATGAAAACACAAGGCTGAAGTAGGCTTTTTTTACGCATACACAATCAGCCGAGCGTGAAGGTCCTGACCTGACTAATTACGGGGGAAGGGGGGGGGGTAATGCAGGTAGGTTTAGGGATAGGAAGATATTTGAAGGAGGAGCAAGAGGAAGAAAACGAGAAGGAGGAGGAGGAATCGGAGGGAAAAAATAGAGGGAGAGAAAGAGAAGTAAATGGATGAAACAGAAGATGCTTGTATTCACCACCTGGTTGTCTGTCCGCCAGGTGGTGACCTCCACCACCCACCTGTCTGTCTGCCAGGTGGTCACCCCCACCACCTGCCCCCACCACCTGGCGTTGCGTCTCTAAAGGATAAACAAACAACTCGTCTTTGAAGTAAACTGGAGCTCTGTTTGAATATCATTTCCTTTGCTCAGTTGACGGCTCTTCAGTGGCCGGCTTACTCCGCGGTCAATGGTATTACTCCGCTCAGGGAAAATGTAAACAAAAAATATTATTCTGGCAAAAGTGTTAACCATTTATTTATTTTAAAGATAATATTTGTAGTTATGTAAAAGTAAATAATGTTATGAAGGAGGGAGGGAGAGAGAGAGAGAGAGAGAGAGAGAGAGAGAGAGAGAGAGAGAGAGAGAGAGAGAGAGAGAGAGAGAGAGAGAGAGAGAGAGAGAGAGAGAGAGAGAGAGAGCTTTAATAACGTGTGTTGGTCCACTCACCAGCTTTAATGATCGACCCATCTCCTCAAACGTCTCCCGAAAAACAAGAATGTCCTGTAGAGGACATTTTCTCTTTTTTTCTTTTAACGCAAAATTTATCATCTGAAAATGGCGGCCAATTGCTGTATAATATATTGCACCTTACTGTGAGCAATATTTACATCTGTGAAGGACATGTGTGTGTGTGTTGAACACGTGTATTTGTTATTATTTGCCCGCAATGTTTACATTTGGGCGGGCGGTTACTACCCGATTCCGCTGCTGCGTCTCTCACATGTAATGAGTACTTTGTATCACGCGAAGTGAAATGTGATTGGACGTACACAAGGGAAGTAATGAAATTAATCAAATATGTCAATATCGTGATTTATATATAAAAAAACAATAAGACAAAGCCATATATATATATATATGTAATTTAATAACTCACCTCACAGGCGCATTCAAGGTTAACAGTTTCACCAGACTCGGCCACACATCCTAGGATGCCCTTTCCCCAAGGCACCTCCATTGCGTTGTCCTCAGTGGTAGCCGGATAGATGTTGGTACCACTGTGCACGTCGAACACCTGCGTTGAATATGATGGGTAGATGAGTAGACAAAGAGTAGAATGGCTCCACATCTGCAGACGATGAGTCACTATAACGTAGGTTAAGACATGATGACCAAACCACACACCAGCGACCAGATTCACGAAAGCACTTACGAACCTGTACATCTTTTCTCAATCTTTGGTGGCTTTGTTTACAATTATTAAACAGTTAATGAGCTGCGAAGCACCAGGAGGCTGTTTATAACAATAACAACAGTTGACTGGGAAGTTTTCATGCTTGTAAACTGTTTAATAAATGTAACTAAAGCCGTCAAAGATTGAGGAAAGATGTACACGTTCGTAAGTGCTTGCGTAAGTTCTTTCGTGAATCTCGCCCCAGAATATGAGGAGACGACGACGACGTTTTGGTCCGTCCTGGACCATTCTCAAGTCGTATATACGACGTTTCTAAACCTGCCTCACTCTACTGAATACCTCGTGGTACATTGTAAAAAAAAATAATCCTTATTATTATCAAACTTTTAGACATCTCATCACCAAAACTGTCAGTCTCCACTCTGCAATAATCTCATTAACCCAAACACGACCAAAGGAACAGCAGAAACAACCACACAGACGACACCCCGACCCCCATCTCAGCTCCCAACAGCCGAGTCATAACAATGTCTTCATATATTATACCTTATATATACACTGGTGTATACTGGCAGCAGGTTTTCTTTCAAACATGTCTCATTGAAGATGACCGCATATTCTGTATTTACTATCTTCTGGTTTAGGGCTTCTATCCCCTCTATTATTCTTGCAATAAAAAGAATAGATGTCTGCAAGAATAATAGATATCCCTATAATATCCCTATAATATCCCTATAATATCCCTATAATATCCCTATAATATCCCTATAATATCCCTATATCCCTATAATAAAATAATAATATCCCTCTGGAAGAGGGATAGAAGCCCTAAACCAGAAGATAGTAAATACAGAATATGCAGTCATACACAATGATATATATTATATATATATATATATATATATATATATATATATATATATATATATATATATATATATATATATATATATATATATACCTAGAAGGGGTACCACCTCTGGTGCAAATGTAGGGACCCATAGCCTCGGAGAAGAAAATAAAGAGTACTCAGAGAAGACCTTGTGGATCCTCACTGAACACTTTGATATTTTCTTCTCCTACCACCCCTATTCTTTTGTTAAGTGTGTATATTTATCTAACTTTATTTGAAAATGTCATTACACAAAAATATATATATATATATATATATATATATATATATATATATATATATATATATATATATATATATATATATATATATATATAACTGAAAACTCACACCCCAGAAGTGACTCGAACCCATACTCCCAGAAGCCAAGCAACTGGTATGTACAAGACGCCTTAATCCACTTGACCATCACGACCGGACATAATGAGGTGATAGCCGAGGCTATTTGAACCACCCCACCGCCGGCACTCGGATAGTAATCTTGGGCATAGCATTTTACCAAATCACCTCATTCTTTGGGGCACACGTGAGGAACACAAATGCGAACAAGCCTGAATGGTCCCCAGGACAATATGCAACTGAAAACTCACACCCCAGAAGTGACTCGAACCCATACTCCCAGAAGCCAAGCAACTGGTATGTACAAGACGCCTTAATCCACTTGACCATCACGACCGGACATAATGAGGTGATAGCCGAGGCTATTTGAACCACCCCACCGCCGGCACTCGGATAGTAATCTTGGGCATAGCATTTTACCAAATCACCTCATTCTTTGGGGCACACGTGAGGAACACAAATGCGAACAAGCCTGAATGGTCCCCAGGACAATATGCAACTGAAAACTCACACCCCAGAAGTGACTCGAACCCATACTCCCAGAAGCCAAGCAACTGGTATGTACAAGACGCCTTAATCCACTTGACCATCACGACCGGACATAATGAGGTGATAGCCGAGGCTATTTGAACCACCCCACCGCCGGCACTCGGATAGTAATCTTGGGCATAGCATTTTACCAAATCACCTCATTCTTTGGGGCACACGTGAGGAACACAAATGCGAACAAGCCTGAATGGTCCCCAGGACAATATGCAACTGAAAACTCACACCCCAGAAGTGACTCGAACCCATACTCCCAGAAGCCAAGCAACTGGTATGTACAAGACGCCTTAATCCACTTGACCATCACGACCGGACATAATGAGGTGATAGCCGAGGCTATTTGAACCACCCCACCGCCGGCACTCGGATAGTAATCTTGGGCATAGCATTTTACCAAATCACCTCATTCTTTGGGGCACACGTGAGGAACACAAATGCGAACAAGCCTGAATGGTCCCCAGGACAATATGCAACTGAAAACTCACACCCCAGAAGTGACTCGAACCCATACTCCCAGAAGCCAAGCAACTGGTATGTACAAGACGCCTTAATCCACTTGACCATCACGACCGGACATAATGAGGTGATAGCCGAGGCTATTTGAACCACCCCACCGCCGGCACTCGGATAGTAATCGTTGTTCCTCACGTGTGCCCCAAAGAATGAGGTGATTTGGTAAAATGCTATGCCCAAGATTACTATCCGAGTGCCGGCGGTGGGGTGGTTCAAATAGCCTCGGCTATCACCTCATTATGTCCGGTCGTGATGGTCAAGTGGATTAAGGCGTCTTGTACATACCAGTTGCTTGGCTTCTGGGAGTATGGGTTCGAGTCACTTCTGGGGTGTGAGTTTTCAGTTGCATATTGTCCTGGGGACCATTCAGGCTTGTTCGCATTTGTGTTCCTCACGTGTGCCCCAAAGAATGAGGTGATTTGGTAAAATGCTATGCCCAAGATTACTATCCGAGTGCCGGCGGTGGGGTGGTTCAAATAGCCTCGGCTATCACCTCATTATGTCCGGTCGTGATGGTCAAGTGGATTAAGGCGTCTTGTACATACCAGTTGCTTGGCTTCTGGGAGTATGGGTTCGAGTCACTTCTGGGGTGTGAGTTTTCAGTTGCATATTGTCCTGGGGACCATTCAGGCTTGTTCGCATTTGTGTTCCTCACGTGTGCCCCAAAGAATGAGGTGATTTGGTAAAATGCTATGCCCAAGATTACTATCCGAGTGCCGGCGGTGGGGTGGTTCAAATAGCCTCGGCTATCACCTCATTATGTCCGGTCGTGATGGTCAAGTGGATTAAGGCGTCTTGTACATACCAGTTGCGTGGCTCCTGGGAGTATGGGTTCGAGTCACTTCTGGGGTGTGAGTTTTCAGTTGCATATTGTCCTGGGGACCATTCAGGCTTGTTCGCATTTGTGTTCCTCACGTGTGCCCCAAAGAATGAGGTGATTTGGTAAAATGCTATGCCCAAGATTACTATCCGAGTGCCGGCGGTGGGGTGGTTCAAATAGCCTCGGCTATCACCTCATTATGTCCGGTCGTGATGGTCAAGTGGATTAAGGCGTCTTGTACATACCAGTTGCGTGGCTCCTGGGAGTATGGGTTCGAGTCACTTCTGGGGTGTGAGTTTTCAGTTGCATATTGTCCTGGGGACCATTCAGGCTTGTTCGCATATATATATATATATATATATATATATATTATATATATATATATATATATATATATATATATAAAATATAATAATATTATTATAAAAAAAAAATATATATAATATTATATATATATAATATAAAAATATATAAAATATAATATAAAAAAATATACAAAATATAAAAATATACAAAAATATATAAAATATATATATATATATATATATATATATATATATATATATATATATAATATATATATATATATATATATATATATATATATATATATATATATATACATATACTCACACTAAAACTAGGAGGGATACCCGGCGGAATCCGGGACAGTCTGTCTCTCTCTCTCTCTATCCTCTATTCCACCTTTCTTTTTACCTTTTCCCCACATCCTCCCCCACTTCCCCTCCCTTCTGCCCCTTCCTCTCCTCCCTCCATTCTATCCTTCCCTGTCCTCACCATCTTCACTACAGTCCGTCATCATCTTCACTATTGTTCCCTCTCCCTTATTGGCCGTCCAAACCACTTAGCCTGGTCGTTAGGGCGACGGCCTCGCATCTTGCAGGGAAGGCATTTGATCCACGATGGTCGAAGTGGTTGGGCACTGTCCTTTCTCCTTTCTAGGGGCTTCCAAATCAATCTGGCTGAGCGCTTTATCCTGATAAATACCTTATCTAAAGGACCTTTGAGATCTTGATTATTTATTTTAGCTCTGAGAAGTTTTGTGGTTGGTCATGTTTGTGGCGTGCAATATGGCCGTGTTTGTGTGTGGTTAGATCGCCTTTAAGACTTATAACTTATTTAGCAGAAGCGCGTTCATTTTCCTGGCTTTAAGAGCAGGTGTTCACTTCTGAAACATTTCGGTCGTGATATTGTGAGTGTCCATAAGAGCTTCGGTAGTGTGTGCGTGCGTGTGTTCTCGTGTGTGTGTACTCACCTAATTGTGCTTGCGGGGGTCTGGTTCTTTGGTCCCGCCTCTCAACTGTCAATCAACTGTTTACTAACTACTACTTTTTTTTTCCCCACACCACACACACATATCCCAGGAAGCAGCCCGTGACAGCTGACTAACTCCCAGGTACCTATTTACTGCTAGGTAACAGGGGCACTTGGAGTGAAAGAAACTTTGCCCATTGGTTTCTGCCTCGTGCGGGAATCGAACCCGCGCCACAGAATTACGAGTGTGTGTGTGTGTGTGTGTGTGTGTGTACTCACCTAATTGTGCTTGCGGGGGTTGAGCTCTGGCTCTTTGGTCCCGCCTCTCAACCGTCAATCAACAGGTGTACAGGTTCCTGAGCCTTTTGGGCTCTATCATATCTACACTTGAAACTGTGTATGGAGTCAGCCTCCACCACATCACTTCCTAATGCATTCCATTTGTCAACCACTCTGACACTAAAAAAGTTCTTTCTAATATCTCTGTGGCTCATTTGGGCACTCAGGTTTCCACCTGTGTCCCCTAGTGTGTGTGCCCCTTGTGTTAAATAGACGAGTAGTGTGTAGTGTGGGTGTGTGTGTGTGTGTGCCCGCGCACGCACGCCTGTGAAGACCCCATGAATGAGGAACCATGCAAACATCAAGCCACTTGGAGCAGCTTCCAGGCGTAACACTCACCTTCGACACGAGGACCTTCTTGCCGGCGCTAGTGCTCTGGACGATGAACAGCGAAGCCCCATCGGCGCTCAGCAAAAGGCTCAGATTAATAATGATCTTGTGAGTGAGTCCCTTCAGGTCCAGGTCGTTGGCGATATCCTTCACGATGTCCAGGAAGAAGTCCTTCTCATCCTGCGATCTCAGCTGCTTCTTGCGGTCCAGGGTGATGCTTTCGAAGCGGGGGAGTCGAACCTTGGACTCAATAAGGAGGCAGAGCATGTAGCTGGATGAGGGAGGAAGGGAGCTGTACTTCCTCATGGCTCTGGGTGGAGATATGAGAGAGAATAAGAAAGAATTAGTCTAATACGTTGTCTTGGAAGGAAGGAAGGGGGGAAGGAAGGAAGGAAGGGGGGAAGTGGGGAATGAAGGAAGCAAGGAAGGAAGGAATCACGAGACTAATCTCATCGCTGGAGCTTATGGCCTATAAGTTGCAAGGACCTGATTCCTTTCTGATTCCCGCCCAAGTATTAATCGTATCGTCGATACAAAACTTGAAAAGTATACGAAATCTACAATTAATTAATAATTTCACTTAAAACCACTCTCAAACCTAGCTTTATTTGACACAATAATATTAGTTCTTTCAAGAGATTTCAAAATTATTTCTATATAAAATATGAATTAATGTTATAAATAATGAACCTCATCACTTCAGCCGATAAACTGTTGGAAATACAAATTTCACAGAATACCCGCAACACAGAACCTGAAAAAGTTAGAAAAACAAATAAGATAAAAAAATATATATTTACAAATGTGGTAGACAATAATTTGATCATAAACATGCTGGCTACACACAGGAGAGAACCACGGATACATAAATGGTGATTGGAAGGAGCAGCAGAGGGTCCAATCACATGGTTGGTATGCCAGTAATATAGAATTGATGAAGGCCAAGTTGATACATAGAAGCTCCTCAATGTACTCATGAGGTTAGAAAAAAGAAAGAGAGACTGGAAGACGAACAGACACAGACAATTATCTACAGAACAATAATGTATATAGAAAGGGGAGAATGAGAATCTAGATGACTCACACAATTCCCACTCGACCATAACAAGTACAAAAGCCAGTACCCAAACATCACCTCAGAGGCTCACACAGGACAGTGTACAGTTGACCAGGACTGCTGCGTTTACACGTTGAGAGAAAGTGTACATACGACTCAAGCGGTAGGAAATAAAGCGCACATTAAAGAGACGAGTTCCATATATACACACACACACACTCCATGTTTGGACGAGAGTAAAGTGCTCATACAGAAACACAGTAAACATGGAACACCAAAAAGCGAAGTCATATTAAAAAAAAATTGATTTAGCTGGTGCGCTCGTCAGCCAAAAGTCTCTAATGTAGACTATATAGATATTTTCATGCAAATTATATTTAAAGATATTGAAGTCCTTAAAATATTGTCTTTAAAACTACTCAAATTGGAGCCTTTCTGGGCATTCTGATAGCAATATTTTAAATTGTGGGACAACTCAAAATGCAAATAAATAATATGACTTTTTGAACTTGAGGCACCACGGGTTGTCGACACAAAGATGCGGAAAACAGCACCCCTAACAAATTCAACAGCAAATTTAACGCAAATTCAACGTTAATTTAAAGCAAATTCAACGTTAATTCAACGTAAATCCAACGTTAATTCAACGTAAATCCAGCGTTAATTCAACGTAAATCCAACGTTAATTCAACGTTAATTCAACGTAAATCCAACGTAAATCCAACGTTAATTCAACATTAATTCAACGATGCTCTTGGGGGATATTGTGACTCCTGGACCCTGCTGGTCCGCCCTGGAGCTCAAAACCACAGTAGACGTTTCCCTATGATAAGAGTCTCAGTTGATCTTCCGCGTGGTGTCAGGAGGCCTTCAAGGAGCATACCATCAGGGTATAAGGTAGGGAAGCAGACTCACACACAGCTACACCATCACTCCCTTATACACGCTGGGTATAAGGGGTGGGATACCAACCCTCTGAGGAGAGATGAGAAAACTTTCAGTTCAGGGTCATAAAATGACCCCTGAGGTAAACTCAATTGTTTTGAACCCCCCCCCCCCAAAAGACATGATAAATTAAAACAGTGGAATTAATAAGTGTATTGACACACACATGCACGCCCGGGCGAAAGTACACACACACGCACGCACAGATGGAGGTACCCGATGGTTCACGGGTCTCTCCCTCTCCCTCCTCATGAAATCTTTATCCTGTCCCCCTCTTTCTCCCCTCACTCCATCTTCCCTAATCCCCCTCTCACCCTTTCCCTCACTTCCCCTTATCCTACTCTCATTCCCCCCCCCTTCAACATCTCACTCTGTTCATTTTTATCCCTTCTTCCCCTCTCTCCCATGCCCCTCTCTCTCTCTCTCTCTCTCTCTCTCTCTCTCTCTCTCTCTCTCTCTCTCTCTCTCTCCTCTCTCTCTCTCTCTCTCTCTCTCTCTCTCTCTCTCTCTCCTCTCTCTCTCTTGTATATAATTCTTCGGCCTCAGACGCACGGGGTCCAGGGTTCGAGACCCCAACAGCCCAGGTGAATGGAATATATCTTTTTTCTCTATATCGTCCTTTGGAATTTCACGGTGTATTAAACAAGAGTAATAGATGTCTTCTTACTAATATTTCCACAAATATATCCCATAAATAAATTACCTTGTTAAAAATATTTTGTATATCTGAAGATCACAACCAGTCATAACATCACAACCAGTCATAACATCACAACTAGTCATAACATCACAACTAGTCATAACATCACAACCAGTCATAACATCACAACTAGTCATAACATCACAACCAGTCATAACATCACAACTAGTCATAACATCACAACTAGTCATAACATCACAACCAGTCATAACATCACAACTAGTCATAACATCACAACTAGTCATAACATCACAACCAGTCATAACATCACAACCAGTCATAACATCACAACCAGTCATAACATCACAACCAGTCATAACATCACAACCAGTCATAACATCACAACCAGTCATAAGATCACAACCAGTCATAACATCACAACCAGTCATAACATCACAAATAGTCATAAGGTTTCGCATTCAAATTTTGCAATTTCAATATTATCAAGTCAATATCTGGCAACCATTACATTTTTTTTCCTGCATTAAACTGTCTCTGTCAATTGTTCGTTCAGTTTCAAATGCCTCTCTAGATCGCCATGTTGCGTTCAGTTTCAAATGCCTCTCTAGATCGCCATGTTGCGTTCAGTTTCAAATGCCTCTCTAGATCGCCATGTTGCGTTCAGTTTCAAATGCCTCTCTAGATCGCCATGTTGCGTTCAGTTTCAAATGCCTCTCTAGATCGCCATGTTGCGTTCAGTTTCAAATGCCTCTCTAGATCGCCATGTTGCGTTCAGTTTCAAATGCCTCTCTAGATCGCCATGTTGCGTTCAGTTTTAAATGCCTTTCTAGATCGCCATGTTGCGTTCAGTTTCAAATGCCTCTCTAGATCACCATGTTGCGTTTTTAAGTGCGTGTGAAATTATACTTTCTTCCATATTTTTTGCATTATTTGCAAACTTGCAAGCAATGGGGGGGGGGAGGATAGAGGGAACTATCATGGGAAATCGCAAAGCCATTACGACTATATAGCACTTGGAAGGGATCAGGATAAGGATTTGGGATGGGACGGGGGGAAGGGAATGGTGCCCAACGATTTGGACGGTCGTGGGATTGAACGCCGGCCTGCATGAAGCGAGACCGTCGCTCTACCGTCCAGTCCAAGTGGTTGGACTGGGGGGTGGGGGGGGACAGAAACAGTTGAAGAAACTCTATTCTTTTGCTGTGTATTTGATCTCGATAAACTTATTTAAACTTGTTACTGGTCAATCCTAAGTCTGCGCCATTTATATTTATGATAAACCATTGAAGTTTATGAGAGAGAGAAAGACAACCGTCCTCATCACTCGGACTCATCACTCGGACTCGTCACTCGGACTCCTCACTCGGACTCATCACTCGGACTCATCACTCGGACTCCTCACTCGGACTCCTCACTCGGACTCATCACTCGGACTCATCACTCGGACTCCTCACTCGGACTCCTCACTCGGACTCATCTCTATACTAAACCTCTGATTTTTTTAATCACGCCCTAAGCCCGGGGGGAGCCGGTCGGCCGAGCAGACAGCACGCGGGACTTGTGATCCTGTGGTCCTGGGTTCGATCCCAGGCGCCGGCGAAAAACAATGGGCAGAGTTTCTTTCACCCTATGCCCCTGTTACCTAGCAGTAAAATAGGTACCTGGGTGTTAGTCAATTGTCACGGGCTGCTTTCTGGGGGTGGAGGCCTGGTCGAGGACCGGGCCGCGGGGGACACTAAAGCCCCGAAATCATCTCAAGATAACCTCAAGATAAGGAAGCCCTAATGGAAAAGCATTTACCTTTCCATTGGAGACTTTGGCGCCATGGAGAGGGGGAGACCTGCTGCATGGGTAACAGCTTCTCTTCCTCGTCTCACCCAACCCAGGCTTTACACCCTGGAGAGACCACTCCTGACCGACAACCAGAGCGCAACTCCATAGTCTCTTATGATTGATGAATGCCTACTAACCTTCCCATCCCCCTTAGGATAACCTACCTAATTACATGGGTGTCAATAGCACTTCTGGTGCGTGTTTCATGAAACGCAGACTTCACCAGGTACTTCAAGACATCGAACTCTCCACAACGTTACCTTCCTAGCTGCCCCCTGAAGGTGTCTGACAGATCCTGAGAGACCTCATCCTTACCTGAAGCTGCTCCTCCGGGCTTCAGCCGCCGCAGACGCCGCCGAGGGCTCATAAGTCCTGAAGACCGACTTGCTTTTACACTTGGCGAAGTCGTGCCGAAGATACTTCTTCGAGTTCGACCTTCGAGCCTTGGAGTCGTCATCATTGAAGATGGAGTCCGCGATTCTGAAAAATCGGGTTGGGCTTATTGAGAGATTTTTTTCCCTCGCGAGAGGAAAGAACTCCTCGTCAAGTGAGGAGTTCTAACTTTGTGGTTAACCAGAAGTTGGCTGCCACAACTCAAGACGCTCAGCTGCCAGTAACATCACCCCGGTTGTGTAGCATTAAGCAAGATATTAAAATGGGGCGGATCTTGATATCACGTGGGAGATATACAATGAATGTTTAATGAAAGATATTCCGTGCGGGTTCTCGAATATATATATATATATATATATATATATATATATATATATATATATATATATATATATATATATATATATATATATATATATATATATATATACCTCTTAATTAACCAAAAATCTCCGGACTGCAAATATATGTTTTGTTTGTAAACATTGTGATGGCTCAATGTGATTTATGCGTGACAACTCAAGAGAATAATGTTAACAGCACAAAAAACATCATATATAAATGTCACGTTTATTGTGTCAGTCTGAGAATATTAGGCCAATGTTATACAAATTTATCCCACTTCTTATAGTAATTAATTTACAGGTGAAGTTTGATTTACAATACAATGGCATTCATTTTTTTACAGGACATTTCGTATGATCTCGGTATTTCAGACAAAAAAAATTATTATTATCAAATTTTGTTTTCAGAAGTAAATCTAATGGGTAGTATTAGTGGATATATATGCTCATACATGCATATAAAAATATATACATAAATATGCATGTTATTAGCACATTCATATTTTTCAGCACCCGAATTCTCTTTCTCTTGTGGTGAAGTGAATACATACACACATAGAATTTAAAATACAGGAAATAGAGAAAGGAGTAAGTATATTATAGAGTGCATTTACTCGTAAGGGCCGCGGCCCCACGGCATGTTGCTCACTTTGTTTACTGGTTTTAATAAAGACAGAGAATTGAACCCAAATTACACTGCCAGTATAGGTATCATAGACCGAGTGTGGGAACCCTAATCTATGTCCCACTTACCCAAATACTGCTATCTCGCTCTCAGTTATTCTGGTGCTGCTATCTCGCTCTCAGTTATTCTGGTGCTGCTATCTCGCTCTCAGTTATTCTGGTGCTGCTATCTCGCTCTCAGTTATTCTGGTGCTGCTATCTCGCTCTCAGTTATTCTGGTGCTGCTATCTCGCTCTCAGTTATTCTGGTGCTGCTATCTCGCTCTCAGTTATTCTGGTGCTGCTATCTCGCTTTCACTCTCACTTATTCTGTTGCTGATATCTCGCTCTCACTCTCACTTACCCAAATTCTGTACACTTTGCTGTACTTATTTAGTATCACTGTAACGTGAATTCCTTTGTGCGGGAACTTTCCAGATCAAATAATCTCACTGTTTTCCATGGCAACTCTCCGTAGTATTATGTATGTCGCAATCATGTCTCTCCTGCTTCTTCTCTCTTCCAGTGGCGTGAGGTTAATTCTAATCATCTTTCCGCGTAACTCGTACTGTAATGACTTTGTAATCGTGATTGTAACTATCTAAAACTACAATCACCCTACTCTCCTTATCACTGAAATCATCTTCATTACATGCTTTCATCATCACTGTAACCATTTTCACTATTGAGGCATCGCAAGGTACCTATCTATAACCATCATCACTTTCTTCCCTATTCTTCACCGCCTTTCACTATCTTCTCTACTCTTCACTACTTTCCCCTTCATTGTCACTAAATACTGTCTTCATCAATAAACTGCATGTACGCTTAAAATATTATATACCCTGTTTAGCAAACACACA